TGTCAGTTATAATACCATAAATTTTCTCGATGCTATTTTTTTCAATTAGAGTAATGGAAATCATTATTTTTATACACTGAATTTATAAATCAATCGTCCTTAGGTCATCATTAGTAACTTGGAAGCACTGGACGTCCGTCTCGTTCTAGTAGGGGACTTATCAGCAGTGTGCATCCACGACTCCTGCTACTCGCAGGACCCGAACCGTGGAACATCGGTCTTACGCGAACGCCTAACCTTTGGACCACTGCGCCGGCATTCACTGGTGTTATTATATAACTCTGATTATTCTAGGGATTTTGCGCAACCTCACCCATTTGTCTTCAGTAGTTACTGCATACACCCAACAGGGATGAACTCCACTCGTCACATCTTTTCACTAGAACTCTGAGAATTTCTTCACAGAGCTAGTCACCAGTAAGCACATAGTACAATTTTTTTCGTTACTGATTTTTATCACTCATTATCGAAATATGCATTACTTGCAAAAATGCTTTCTTATTATTTGTATTAATAAGTAGTTTATAACCTTCATACTGTCTGGTAGTAAAATCTTAATGAAATACCAAAAGTGGAATTTAAATACATCCAACTTTTATACACTATTCAACATTCAAGATCCTGATAAACTTTTAGTGAATTATCCACTATGAAATTTTACTGTTTCCAAATCACCTGATAATGGTGGTCGTACGTTTTTAGATCAGTGGAAAAAATCAGTACCTTTTTGAAAACCATTGAGTAATTATTTAATGTTGAGAACATATCCCATGAAAACTTCGTCTACTAGGTGAAGTTAACCTGTAGAAATTTTTTTATATTTCATTTATATACCTAAGACGAACAGATTACCCAAAGTTACATTCATTTTAGTTTAGCAGTAAGAGAAATTTTCTAATATCTGAAAATAATTTATAATGAACAAGTATCTGATTATGATAGACGTCATAATGTTGTCTTTACATGGACTATTTATCAAATTATGAGATCTTATCGCATGTCTTAATAATCTACTATCGTCTAACTATTAAGTATGTCATTCTAATCTGGTCAAAAATTTTGTAACATATATATATATATATATATATATATATATATATATATATATATATATATATGTACAAGTTTGTTTACACTTATCATAGACATGTGTATACATCTATGACTTACTTACGCCTGTTACCCCCAATGGAGCATAGGCCGCCCATACATCTATGACCTTACGTATAAATAGTCTATCGCCTTACTTATCTGTATTTTATAGGTGGTTTATTGTTATATATGAAGTGATGCTTGCTTACATGTTATAACTAAGCTGGAAACTAACCCTTCATGCTACATCTCTTAATGTCTACTTGTAAAAATGAATGTCTAAAACGGATTCGATGAATATATGCAAAATGGAGTTAGTTTAAATACTGTACCCTAACCCTATGTGAATGATTATATTCATTATCACACTCATCATAACCATTTGTAAGATCCATTTTTGAAGGTTTTGTTTATGAAAATCCCTCCATGTATACATTTATAAAACGTTCTTATTGATCCCTTCGGTTGCACATTTTGTTAGTCCCTTCGATTCCATTTGAGATGATAATATTTGTATTCTATTATAGTTTCTATTTCTTTTGCCTTCATTGAGTTTTTATGTTTCTGTCTGAAGTGCATTTATGTTGTTTAAGCTGATACTTAATCATGGCGACAGCCATATTGATTTGTTCCCTTTTTGATTGTGTTGCTTTCTTGGACTGGAATTGTGCATTTTGATTGTGAATTGAAGCACTCTTCCAGAATAGGAAACACTCTGTGTTATAAAGCAACCAAATATTATCTTTCGAACGAATCTGATCTATCCAGAAAGGATAGAATAACATTTATTTGTTGCTGTTGATTTGATTAATTGAACAATTGTTGATGGAATAACTAAGTGGTAATATTTGTTTAGGTAATGATGTATATTTATAATTATGATCAATATCAGAACCATCGTTTACCCAAACCACTTGTTTTGGTTTTAAACTGGGCCAACCTCGTATCTAAACTATCTGGACAGTTATTCCTCAGTCCAAACCTCAATTTGGATCCTACACTATTGTCATTAATCAGTTGGAGTCAAATACAAGCAAAACATTCTTCCAATATAATAACTATGTCTATCATTCATATAGACTTACAATATATTACCATTACATACTGTTATGTGTTTTCCCCTTACCTGATAATTAGAAAATTGTGGATTAATTGGACGAAAATTAGTTAATTCATTGATTAGATTTTCATTCAGTGTATGTTTTTCATTTGGTTGCTTTTCTTGACCAACATTATAACGTTCATAAATTAATCGACAAAAATGTAAATGTTTCATATTGGCATATTGATATGGTGAATAATTATCTCGATCACGTAAATGTGGATTTGCTTTATTACAGAAAAAATATATATATAAGTATATATATACATATATGAGGAGAGCACAAAATAAATAAGAGAAATGTGCAAACATAGTGTTGTAGCTTATTACTAGGCTTCAGTATGGACGAATGATCGAGTATGTGATGAAATAAATATTATTTTCGACTTGCGTATATATGATACTTAGGCTAACCATATTTATGCGACGATAGTAATAAAAAGGCTAAATACGGTTTCTCGGGTGAATTTATTTCATGCAATTATTTATGCAGACGAATGTGCAAAGGAAAGCGTACAAGCACAAACGAAGAGCTCACTTGTGGCTATCTTCGTGAGGAAATTCTCGGAGTTTTAGTTGAGAAGACGTGACCAATGGAGTTCAACCCTGTTGAGTGTAGGCGGTAACTACCAAAGACAAATGGGTGAGGTCGTGCAAAATCCCTAAATCAATCAGAGTTAGACATTAACACCGCAGGATGCCGGCCCAGTGGTCCGATGGTTAGACGTTCGTGAACAATACCGAAGGTCCCGGGTTCGAATCCTGCGAGGAGCAGGAGTTGTGGATGCGCATTGCCACTGATGAGTCCCATACCAGGACGAAACGGCCGTCCAGTGCTTCCAGGTTTCTAATGGTGGTCTAACAATGATTGATTGATGATTTAAAATGTGTGAAAACACAAACCTCCAAAACTCTGCCCCAAAAAAGAGACGAAGAGCATTGAAGAAGGCTAGTGAGCCAACTCCAAGTAATAAAGCATGACAAAAGTAAGACAGACATGTAACAAGCGAGACAGACATGAATAGGCGCATAAGCGTAAGCAATATTCAGTCGTAGTACCAGCTCATACAAACCAGACAATAGTAAAAACCAATGGTACACATAAGTTGTTGGCTATACAAATGGCTTGGTTAAATAAATTAATCGAAAGGTTTAAACAAATTCAATGTAAGCGACCTCAAATATATGTGGAGGCACTACAAGAAGGCAATAAATTAGTTATGTGTTCATAGTTACTTCTTTTCAAAGAATTCTCTCTTTCTAAAATTATTATTATTATTGTTCCTTGATTTTAAATAATTGAATAAGTAGACAAATATTTCCATTGATTAATCATTGGTAGTTGTAAGCGTAACCAGTCGTTGAACTTAAAAGGGATTATTGATTGGCTACTTATCAAAACACTTTTTACTAAATTCTAATGAATTCCTTAGCATCTCTTTTTTACGGTCAATTTTCATCATTTAGTTTGATTAAAAGCAGTATCGAACTAATTAAAACAAGAACAAAGCTCATGCTTACACTAAAGAAGTATGAAGTTTATGATTATTTTCTTATATTCTCATAAGTTCAATAATAACCTTTTAAATACTGATAACTTCGGTAGAGAGTAGTGAATTCAAAGCTATTGATTATGTTATTTTGTCTAACATGATCACTACTCAAACATCATCAGTAGAATTATATCTCACTTTACCCGTTGTAATATTTTAAGCAAGTATTTAACCCACATAATTGAGTGATACGTAAATCTGTTCATTGAAATCTCAAGATTTTCAACGAATGTGGTAATTTTGGGGGGAAATTTATGGAATAAATTACAGGCCTCGGTTTGTGAAGCTTGTACGGTAAATATGGGGCTTGTATACAGTCAAAGAAGGGTGCTTGGATAAGTTACTTGAACAATAATAGCCGTGTCAAAACCTTGAGTGCAGACAGTGATCGAAACTTCTAAAGATTAAAACACTTGTTGAACAAGTACACCGAAATCGGAAACAGCTGTTATAGATGTTAAGGAGATACGGTTAGAATAATACATAAATTGAACCTTCTCAGTTAATGTCAACACTTATAAGTGTTGCACAACAAATGATTGATATGCTCGCTAACTGATCTGCTTGAATGCTAATACAAGTTCAGCTTAGTCGGTAAACGGAACGAAGACAAATGATGTAGTGACACTGTATGCTATTCTAATCCGTTCGTCCCCTGCCCAGCTAACTATATCAAGAAATCCTGATAAGGCGTAGAAAGTGTATTTTACAAGTACCCATAAAATACGAGGTCAACAAGCAGACAAATCGAGCTTATTTATACATGATAGAAACGTCCTTGGGAGAGCCACGAAAATAGCGTACTAAAATGATCCATTAACCAGAGACAGTCAAGGATCTCCCGAGTGGGAAATGTAAACTGAGGGGTAACTAGACGACTTATACGCGAAAACTTAAAAAATCCAAAATAAGGACCTTTTTCAAGTGAGTTCTGGGGATTTAACGTCCATAAAAATGATAGACAACAAGCCATACTCTCGAAAGTTATTACAATTGAAAGTTGATACTGATCATTAGTAAGTAGTATAATATTGCATACGAAATAAAATTAGGAAAGAAAACAAATAGATCATTCATCCAATTCACTCTGTTGATTCATCTAATATTACTTGTGATATGAATATTCACCCTAACAGAAATTTGTCTGTATGAGTTTTCAACATTTTCATTCCAAAATTTTCCAAATTAGTTAACATAAAAGTACTCTATTATTTGGACGTTTTTGTAACTTCTTCATATTTATTGTTGCTATTTTCTTAATCTTAAATAATATGCTGTAGAATATTTAAATTGATTTAAAGAAACTAATATGATTCTTTCTATGTTGTTAGTAATTGAAAAGAACTCAAGAAATAAGTATATCCTTCCTGTTTCACCTAGTTTTTTGGTCATGTCGTTGTCAAATATAACAGTGGAAAAAAGAGAACTTTGCAATCAAGGATTATGGAACACGTATCTAAGTGGCTTCAAAATGAGTTAACGTCAGATGAGCGGATTAGCGTTAGAAATAGTAAACCATGTTCACCGATCGCAAAACAGGGCATAAGATTGACATTAAGAAGGCCTTCAAAACACTGTATAGAAATATTGAAGGACGAATTGTGAGGTTTATGGAGGCCTTGGTTATTCGAAAATCAAAATCCCCCTAATGTGTACAGAAACACCTTGAATTTACTCTGGTAATCTTTAAGCCTCGGGTAATGTGACAATTTTCCTACCCTTTCTTATTCTTTTCATATTGAGTTAATTTTCTTTCTCTTTTATTTACAATTATCACGTCATGTCTAACTGAACTTTAATTTAATTAACCTTTTATTAATCTTTAGATAAAATGTCTTGATTGTTCGAAATGTGTTTAGTGCAAATACATCACAACATTTTTCAGATCAATTACATCTCACTGTTCTATCAAAATTTTTTAAAATGGACTAATTGTTTAAAAGAATAAAATCTA